GCCCTGGATTCCCTGTATTTTCATTCCTATCTGTACCAGTGTACATCCTCTGGTCTAGCCAGACTTGCAAGGAAAGACAAGGGAATTTTATTCAAATGGGGGAGACCATTGGCACAGGGTCATAATGGTGCCCAAGGATTTGCTGATATACAGAACTTTAGGAAGGGTGGGGTGGGGGTGGAGTGGGGCAGGGGCGGTGTGCAAAGAAAGGTCATGGGAATGGCACTATGATTGGGATACATACCTTGTAGACAAAGAGCTTACAAGATTGGTCCTGGGACCTCCTCCCTAAGGCACTTAGGCCATGACTCAAGTCTACTGCTTCCTATCAAGGATATACCCAGGCAAACCCTCAAGGAAAACTGCCCATCCTCAGGCTTATCAAGTGAGTAGAGGCAATGCCCTTTCCATTGCCCTCTGTCTGAAGGGAAGATTATCCATATCCCTTGTGGATGTTTAGAGGGTATTCAATGGAGGCTTTGTTCACTGTGGGATCTCTGCAGATGGATTTTGGGTTATCACTGTCATCCATAGCCTTCTGCAAACAGGGTGCTCAGAATTTAAGTAGTACATACTCCTCCACTGATCCTAGATTTTATCATCTACAATCTTTGTATCACACAGGCTGGTGTGCTTCTTCTGTGTGGATTTACTTGACACCTCACTTAGATGGCTGCTTGCATTAAGACAAATTTTCAGACCCCAGATGTAATTCTTTCTGATAGTTGGGCATCATCTGATTTTTTCAGGTCACTTTGCTATAGCACCCGTATCTTTAGTGATCTCTTCATGAGGATAAGTATCCAGCAGGGTCACATCATAAGAACGAATTGTTCTTCGATTAGGGCTTACAATTAAGTATGATCTAAAAATACATTTGTATATGTAAGGGTTATATTTATGCCTTTTCCCCTTTAGTGGCAGCATTATTAGTTTTTTGAGAGATAATATAAGTTACCTCTATGGGCCTTTGGTAATTCTAATAATCGTATCATTAATCTAACCAATGACAGAGAATTTAAAATATTATTGAGATAAGGAGAATATTCATAAAGAAGAAAGCTTTCTAGATGAAAATACAAGGAATGTTTACTTAAACATATTAAAAATTAAATGACTGAATTCTGTTTAAGAAATCAAGGAGCATTAGACACAGGGCACACATTTTAATAACACTCATGCACTATGGCAGGACTAAGTCTGTAAGACATGCTAAAAAAAAAAAGAAAATATGAAATGGTCTCAAGTTGTCTATTATTGGGCAGCCTCAAAATAAAGACATTAAATCAAACTACAGTGACTCCCAAATCTACAGCCTTGGGGCAACAGTCCCCTCCTTCTCCTCACATTAGGGCATTTCACCTTGAAGTCCGAAAGAGGATATGAGTTCCTTTAATTCGCAATAGGTGCGTTTAAGGTAAAGTCCAGTTCCCTTAGTGGATTTTCTCAATCAGATCCTCCTGAAGTGGCTTATGTAGAATGTCGAACACCTTGAGAAGACAGAATCTAAACTCCAGATGGTGTATAGTTATGAGGCCCAGTCATCAAGGCTGAAAAGAAACTGGGTCAAATGTATGATCAGCAATATAATACACAGTGGGTTCTCCCATTGGGGGTCCATACAAACAATGCCAAGCATCTTCCCTAAAGGCAAGCTGCTCCCTGAGCCCCCTCACCCCCAGTCACCCAACAACCAAAGTGAAATCATCTTCACTGAGACAGACCCATTACCCCCTTCTCTTTGGTCATGAATCTCCAACAAAAGGCACTGAACACCTATGTAGGCATGTGTACTAAGTTAGGGTTGCCATGGGACATTGCCATGTGGCATGGACTATTTGCTCATCTCCCCTCTCCTCCTCAATGAGAAACTATCCCAGCTGAGGCGAGGCCTCCCCTGGAGAAGTGGTTCTTATGATGTACAAATAAGGGACTGATAAATGGGTTCCAAATGCTAGACTGACATGCCACCCCACTGCCTGGAATGTCAGGTTATATGGCTGCAAACCCGAGAGCCACTGCCTGCCTTGTCTTGGTGTTTTTCCTTACAGCAGTGGCACATCTAATATTTGTCTTTTTATGATTGACTAGCTTCGCTCAGCATAATGCTCTCCAGGTTGGATCATGTTGTGAAGTACCTAGGTTTCATCATCGTGTTTAGTGATGCACACCATAGTTCACTGTATGGATATCCCAACGTTTTTTTATCCACTCTTCTACTGATGGACTTTGGGGCTTTTTTTAACTTCTTGCTACTGTGAACAGTGCTTCAATGAACATGGGAGTACGTGCATCTGTTGGCATTATGTCTCTTACTTCTTTCGGGCATATACCTAGCAGAAGTGTCACTTGATCATATAGGATTCCCATTCCAAGTTGTTTTAGGTAGAGCCATATTGCTTGCTAGAGAGATTGCACATGTTTATAGGTCTACCAACAGTCTATGAGCGCTCTAATCTCTCTACACCCCTCCAGGGTGTGCTGTTTTCTTTTTCTAATTGGGCTGTGATTGTTGGTGTAAGGTGGTAGCTCATTGTTGTTTTGATTTCTATCTCCTGGAAGGCTGTTGATCATGAGCACTTTTTCATTTGTTTGTTAGCCATTTGAATGTCTTTTTGGGTGAACTGTCTGTTCATGTGATTTGCCCAATTTATAATTGGGCTGTGTTTTTTTTCTTGTTGATGTATATTGCAGTGTCCTGTAGATTTTAGAGATTGGTCCCTTGACCCTCGTGTCATTGTTAAAGATTCTTTCCCAGTCTTTTGATTGGCTTTCTCTCTACTCTTTTTGATGAAGTCTTTGGATATGCGTAGGGGTCTTATTTTCAGTAAGTCTCAGTCATCTATTTTGTCCCCTCTTGTGTGTGCTTCCTTCATTATAAGTGGCAGTATGTGCATGCCCTGCAGTAGGGCCCTTCAGTCTTGTCCCCATTTTCCTCATTGATAATCTTTATAGCTCTGGGATTTACATTTAGGTCTTTGATCCAACTCGAGTTCTATTTTGAATGGAAAATGTTAAAGATGATGTGTTAGGCCAGGTTGACAGATCCAGTGGCACTCATATATGTGTAAGAAAGAGTTTTATATCAAGAAGTAATTGAATATCAAGAAAACATCCCAACTCAAGTCTGTAAGTCCGATACAAGTCTATGAGACCCTCTTCAGACTCATGCAGAATGCAGGACGATCACAGGCCAGTGGGTGCAAAGTCATGTGGACCAAATGGAGGTGGCTCTGGCAGCAATCAGGGTCAGCCAGCGGGAAGGTGAAGGTAGAGAGAGAAAGGGAAAGTTTTCAGGGGTCTCATGAGAAAGTCATCCCCACAAAAAGGCACCATTTGGCTGCGACCTGACTAACAGATTGAAAACAACCCCTCTATATATCTTCAGGTTAACTACCATTATGTAAAAGTGGTTTAAATGCTTACACAAAGTCTGTGGTTCCTGGCTTAAGTCCCCTCTCTGATACTTTCCAAAAGCAGTTGCTCAGTTCCTGGGTTAGAAGCAGGGACTGGAAAAGAGATGCCAAAGCGGAAAATCAATGTGAGGGTGGTCGGCAGTTAGGCAATTAAAAACCAACCTCACTGTTATGAGTTGATGTTGCCATAGCAGCAACCCTTAGGCCAGGATGGAACTGCGCATGTGGGTTTCTGAGACGATAGCACTTAAGGAAGTGGATAGCCTCGTCTTCTCCAGAGGAACAGGCGGTGGTTTAAAACACTGATCTTGAAGATCAAAGCCCTCTACCCCCAGAGCTAGAAACAGGACTCCTCCAAAAGGTGGTGGAACATTTCCAGCCTGATCCCGACCCCAACTCCCTCCCCAGCAGAGGGCGAGGGACAGGAGACTTGATCAGGAATGTCCATCACAGTGTCACAGTGGGGGCCCAGGTTATATCAGCCAGAGCCATTTCTCACAGAACCTCAGGGAAGACGTTGCTAGGGGAGAAGCAGGGGTGGGTGGTCCAGGTGCCGGGTCAAGAAGGGGCCTTCCTTTCTCTCTCAGACCAGCCCTGGGGAGGGTCTCTTGGTATTCCCAGGACTGGGTAGAGGGTGCCTAATGGGTCTTCTCCTTCCACCCCAATGCTAACCTGAGATTTCTCTCACAGCCCCTCACTCCTTGTGCTACAACTTCACTGTCATGTTTAAGCCTCCACCTGGACACCAATGTTGTGAGGCTCAAGGCCAGGTGGATGGGAATACTTTCCTTCATTATGACTGTGGAAGTAATGAAGTCACAGCCTTGGCTCCCCTGGGGACGAAGGTAAATGTCACAAAGACATGGGAGGAGCAGCTGCAAACCCTGAGAGACCTCGGGGATCAGCTCAAACACACACCACCTGGCCCTCAAGTGGAGAATTCCACAGCCAAGGGTAAGCGTGAGAGGATTCTGCGCTTGGAGAGGATCCACTGGGGGAGGGCTGGAGAAGAGCAGAGGTGGGAGAATTGGGTGCTATTTTGCATTTATGTTTTGAAACATTATAATTTGATCCCCCGCCCTCTCCCACCCCTAAAGAAGTCTTTGAGCGAGGGCCAGCCTGGGAGGACAGGCCACAGCAGGAGGTGAGAGGGGACCAGAGGAGGTGGCTGCTGAGTAGGAATGGAGAATTGCTCAGGACTAGAGGGTGATCTCTCTCTATGGGGGCAGCTCCTCTCACCCTGCAGGCCAAGATGTGTTGTCAGCACGAAGCAGGCAGGTGCATCAGAGCATTCTGGCAGTTCAGCTCTGGCAGACAGACGTCCCTCCTCTTTGACTCAGAAACCACGAAGTGGGCAGAGGTTCACCCTGGAGCCAAAGTGATGAAAGGAGAGAGGGAGGAGAAGAATGTGACCGAATTCTTACAGAGGGTCTCGGAAGAAGACTGCAATCTATGGCTGATGGAGTTTTGGAAACACTGGGAGAAAATGCTGGAGACAACAGGTAACTGAAAGGGAGAGGAAGTGGTATCTGTCCTAATGTATTTGTGTGTATGTGTATGTGTGTGTGGGACAGGGAGAGAGTTGGAGAAAGATATCCATTCTACAGTAAGTTCTTCTAGGGAGAATAAGGGATATTAGTATTTCTACCACATCCCTTTTTCCATCTTCCTTGCTGACATCTCCTCTGTATTGCACTGACCTGTGGTACATTCAACGTGGTTACCTTGTGCGCTAACCAGTTGGGTATCCTGATGTTTCCACAGCTCTCCTTCTTGTTCTCTCTTCCAGGATCCATTTTCTTTTCTCCCTCCCTGGATCACTTTCCTGTAGAACCTTCCTTACCTTCCTCCTCAGCCACAGCAAGACTGACCCGTTGACTTGGAAGCTTTTGTTTCCCACACGGGTAGCTGAGCTCCTTGGACACAGGGCCATCCCATATCCAACCAAGGCCCCTCCTAGTGGCTGCCACACCGTGGAGGGTCAGCGGAATGTGTGCCTTGTGGCATGGTCTGTGTCAGCAGGAGTTGAAGACCCGGCCTCCCCAGGTTCAGGGTCTGGATAATGGCATTCACCCTTCTGGTTCCTTTGCAGCACCACCACCCAAGGCCACAGCTCAACCCAAGGCTACACTGAGTCCCTGGATCATCTTTGTGACCCTCACATGCTCAACCCTGTTTATCCTGCAAGGCCACGTTCTTTAGAACGACAGGTACTAAATGACAGGTGGGCAGAATTGAGAGGGATGCATGGGGCGAGTCACCCGGTGTGAAGACTGTGGAGGTGGGGATCCAGAATATTACCTCTGTCCCCGTCACCGAATCTTCTCCCAGTGCCTGTGAGACATGATGCTTGAGATCTCCTACCATTTCACAGGAGAACTAGGTGCATCAGTTCTTCTCCAACTTCCACATACATATAAATACATCACTTGGGTCAGATTCACTTCAGTCCTCAAAGCAAACTCTTTGCTTATCAGCATACTCAAGAGGTCTTGTGCAGTAGATTGGTCCAGTGCAATGTGTCTCTTAATCTCTTGACTGCAGCTTCCACGAGCATTGATTGTGGATCTAAGCAAGACGAAATCCTTGACAACCTCAATCTTTTCTCCATTTATCATGATGTGACCTATTGGTTTGGTTTTCTGTACATTGAGTTGTAATCCATACTGAAGGCTGCAATCTTTGCTCAGCAAGTGCTTCAAATCCTCCTCACCTTCAGCAAGCAAGGTTGTGTCACCTGCATTTCATAGATTGTTAATAAGCCGTCCTTCAGTTACGATGCCGGATTCTTCTTCACGTAATCCTGTTCCTCTGACGATTTGCTCACTGTATTTTAAGCATATCTTAAATAAGCTGTCGGTCTTGGAAAATTCTATCACGTGCCCTTTCATTGTTCCTATCACCAATGCCATCTTTTCCAACTCAGATCCTTCTTTGTTTCTAATTTTAGAATTCCAATAGCCAAGAATGATCAATACATCTTGATTGTATGTTTAATCAATTTTAGATGGCAGGAGTTGGTAGAAAGTTCAATTTCTTCATCCTTAGCCTTAGTGGTAGATGCATAAATTTGAATGATCTGAATTGATCTTTCTTTTAGGTATAGGGATATTACCCTATCATTGACATCGTTGTCCTTAAGGATAGATTTTGAAGCATCCCTTTTGATGGTGAATGCGATGACATTTCTCTTTACTATGTCTTTCCTGGTTTAGTAGACCACATGAATGTCCAATTTAAAATAGCTAATACCAGCCCCTTTCAGCTCACTAATTATATGGAATTTCAAGAAATCGATTTAATTTTTAGCTATTTTCAATTTTTCTTGATCCTTTTGAACAGTTGCATAGTATTTTCTACAATAAACAGTCAATCCTTTGAAAAACCACATTTCAATCACATACCTTTTAAAACGGCCTCAGTTCAAAGTGTCTGATTGAGCCCTAAATCCCCAAGGCATTCATTGTACGTGATATATTAACTTTCTCCTATACATCTCACATAGGTACAGGCTATCAACATTCCTGACCTGGGAGAATTGAAGAAACAGCCAGTAGTGTAAGTTCTTGCGCTCGAATGCTGATTGCAACTGGAAGTTTCAGACCATAGTTTGAAGAGACCTTCTACAAACACAGCCCCTGGTTTTCTGCTTCCTCCAGATAGCATGTTGAAGGCAGTCACAGCTTCCAGACCTCAATTCCCATCCTCTGCCACAGCACCAATCCCCTGTCTTCAGTGCCCAGTAAATGTTTATTGTGTGAATGTTGCATTTGTTAAGTGTCATTTGGCTCCTTATTTATGGTTCACTAACTCTTATCTCTGGCTACCTCTTAAGGTAACAAATTGGAACTACCTACTATTCAGTTCCTTAAATACTTGAAGCAATACTTGAGGAAAATTCCAAGTTTACTCAACTTGCACCGTTCAAATATTGTCAGAGGAAGCCAGCCTCTACAACCGAGGGGTCAGTAGGCACAATTGTACGGCTATAATCTATAAAGATCGTACTAAAGTCATAGAGGATAGGAAAGATAGGAGAGAGTGTAAAATAAAGGAGTCAGACACATTTCATATAGCACACTCACCTCAGCCCCTCTTGGTGGTCCACGTGGAGGTGGGAGTAAAGAGAGAGGGTGTCTTTACTATCTTGGGGTATTTATACATAGCCACAAGACATGAATATTCAGGAGTTACATACTTCACAGGTGGATGGTAACTACAGGAAGGTCCCTGAGCTCCCAGGTGAGGAAACCTAATACCTACATTGGGGGAAGGTGTGAGGGGGGCAGGGCTGGGTGACAAGCAGGAGGAGAGAACAAAAGGATCAGGTCTGCTTCTAGAGGGAGGTAGAATCAACCATGTGCTCCTCACCTTAAGGCAGCATCACTGTTGGGGGAGAATCTGTGGGAATGATATTTAAAGCAGGATAATGTACTTGGACTTTATCTCTAACCTACTAAAGTGGTGGCTTTCCTACCACGGAATACTAGCTTTCCAGATTCCCTGTGTTATAAGTTAGGGAATATAGTCTAGTCATAGTTCCCTCAGTGTTAGCTTCCCACAAAATATATGTTTGGATCAATGGACACCATGTGAAGTATAACTTGACCTACATATTTAGTACAAAACGAACTACTTTAAATAAAGCCAGCATGCACATCCTCTGTCTCAGGTGAGCTAACACTACCTTAAAATGTGTTCATCATTTTATGGGGGAGCGCAGTGAAGAGCACTATTTGGCATATATAGGTTCTGTATCTCGAAAAGTAGAGCTGACAGGGGAAAATTGGTGCTAGTTTGGGAATCTGCAGGTCAGATCTACCCAGACACAAGTGTAACATTCGAAGCACCAAAATGTATGTTGGCCAGTGTTAAGTTTTATTCCTGGTGTCTGTGGACAACCTGGAGACTAGGTTTGGGACAGGTGCATCCCACGTTCCTTTTATCCCAGCTAGAGAAAACATATTGATCTCTCAACATACAAAAAGTTTTCCAACCCCAAACCTCAGTGTCCTCTCTTCTGTTTCCTAAAAGCATCGACTGCAGTAACCTCCCCTCTGGTGGCTGCTGCTGTGGGACGCCATTGGGTGGGTTCCAACCCACAGCAGCCCCATCTATGCACCACAGATGGAAACACGGCCTGGTCCTGCACCATCCTCAGAATTGTTCTTCTGTCTCAGCCCAGTGTTGCGGGCACTGTGTGAACCCATCCCCTTGAGGGCCTTCCTCTGTTTCACTGCCCCTCCACTCTACCAAACCTGCTATCCTTCTCCAGGGACTGGTCTCTCCTGACAGCATGTCCAACGTCTGCAAGACGAAGTCTTGCCATCCTTGCCTCTAAGGAGCACTCTGGCCATCTTTCCAAGATAGATTTATTTCTCCTCTTAGCAGTCCATATTACTTTCAATATTCTTTCCTAGAACCGTAATTCAAATGCACGGGTCTTTTCCCTCTCAGTCTTACTCAGCCCAATGTATGCAGGCATGTGAAGATGTGTGCGTTTGCAGCACATGGAGCACTTGGCATAGAGGGGGGGTCCTGAGGGAGGGGAAGGATGCAGAGGAGTCCACGGTTGGTGAGGTGGCTCTGTGGGTCCTTTCTCTGCCTGACGCCTGCACTGCGTGCCCGCCATTGACCTCAGCCCCTCCTCTTGCCTGGGTCCTCAGACTCCCCAGACGGTGTTTCATTGCCCCACCTCCTTTCTCTGCTCCTGCCCCTCTCCCCACTCCTCCTGAGTTTCTCTTCTCTGATGACTGGCTCTGGTCCCCTGACCAGGAGCTGTGAGGTGGCAGTTGACTCATGAGGACAGCTAAAAATCTGGGGCAGCTGACCCCGAGGTCCTCAGCTGCTGCCTGGAGCCTAGGACACTGATAGGACAGTCTGGCTTCCTCTGCATGACAGGCTGGGCCGAACCTTCTAGGGCTCTCTGTTGGTCTGCCAACCTGCAAAGTAGGTTAAGGGATCTGGGTGGAGGACCTGTGATCTCTTCCTCAGAAGAACCCCCTACCTGGTGAGACATTCACTGGAACGTGACATCTCAGGAAAAGCTCAGCCAGCTGCCCCCCAGCACCCCTGCCCCGGAGCCCCTGGGGAGGTGACCCCGTGGACCCCCCCAGTTCAATGAAGCCAGTTTGAATCTCCTGCTGTGGTCAATATGTGATTTGTGGATTTTTAGAAATGATGTGCCTTCTTTGTTGATGTGTAATAACCGTAGGAAGTAGATATCAATTTCGCTGGACACAGACCTGGTATGTTAGACAGAAGGGATTATTAAGGAACATGGATGCATACATGTCTGTTTGCGCGATGATTCTTCCCTCCTTTAGGATATAGACCCAGCCGAGGTATGGCTGGATCTTATGGAATTCAAGTGCCCATGAAGTAACCCCTCTTGCGTTCCACAGAGGTGGTCCATAGTTGAAATGCCACCAGCAAGCAGTGTATGAGAGGTCCAGCCTGTCCACATATGCTGTTTAATTTCTTTCCCTCCCTCCCTTCCTTAGTTTCGCTGTCATTGTCAGTGTAAGGCGATATCTCGTCAGTGCTTTGATGCGCACCTCCCAGATGGCTAGTAATTGTGAACAACTCTTCACATGGTTGCTGGCCACCAGGAGGAAGCTATAAAGACCCTACATGCCCATTTGGTGGGATAAGGATGAGAAATGTTGGTACCTATGCACAGTGGAGTACCATGCCTAGCTAAAAAACAATGATGAAACCAGAAGCACCTCATGGAAGGAGCACCCTGGAGAATATTGTACTGAGTCAGATGGGTCAGTCACAAAAGGAGACTGTTGTATGAGACCCTGTTATAAGGCAGAAACTAAGACAAGAGCGCCCAGGTCACCAAGGGGTAGAGGGAGAACATGCGAGGGAAGATGAAACGATAGGGCAAGGACTCACAGGTATTAACGTGGGCGAAGGGGGAGATTGTAATCCACAAGAAGAGAAATCAGAGGAGCGGGGAGAGCATACGATATTGGGGAGTTTAATAAGCCGTTTAAACTGTTTTCATTAGAATCACTGGTTTTCTTTGCTCTGCCGTGTGGAGGGAGAAAGGAATGATAATAATTCTGTGACAGGATATGAAACAAAAATTTTCAAGTCATTAAATTTTTTTAGAAAAGAGCAATGTCTATTTAAGTATGAGTATCATGTAATACATTACTAAAGAAAGCAATGAATTTGATCTTCCTAAGAGG